ACGTCTGCGGAACAACAAACCAGCTCGGCAAACCAACCAACCTCAACACCCACAACCCGAGCTACAAATCTATTCCGAAACCTTAGACATAGGTTAAGTCAATGGAAAAATGATTCTGATGGCAAAAATCAGCAAACGTAACAACATAAGCACATAACAAGTCGGATCAGGAATAGCCATTCAGCCTTTTGACCCTGCTGTGTAGACAATAAGGTCATGGCTCCATGAATTCCATTTTCCCCCAGTCCTTGACTCCCTTGTCAATCAAGTGTCAGTCAAACCTGGACTTGAATAGTCAATAACCAATCCTCCCCTGCTCACTGGGGAGTGAATTCCACTGACTAATGATCCTCTGAGGAAAAAAAAATTTTTATCTCCAACTTCAATGTGAGGTCACTTATTTTGAAACTGTGCCATCCAGCATTTAACAACCCCTTACCATGTTAAGCTCTCTAGAACTTTGCATATTTCAATAAGATCACCTCTATTTTTCTAAACTCCAATGAGTATTGCTTAATTGCTCAACTTTCTCCATAAGACACCCCCTTCAACCCAGGAATGAGTCTGGTGAATCTTATTTGATCTATTTTCAGAGTTTCAAATATATGTATGCAATTACATGTAGCCAAAATTGCACACAGCAGTCTCAATAATACAGCTGTAGCAAGACTTGCCTTTTCTCTCTCCAGACCCCTCCCAATAAAAACCAACAGTCCGTTGCCTTCTTCATTACTTGCTGTGTCTTCAAGCTGACTTTTTATTATTAATGAACAATGAAGCTATGTCCCACTGTACCATAGCATTCTGCAGCCTCTATCTGCTTAAACTATATTCTGGTTTTCTAATCTTCTTGCTAAAGTGGACAATTTCACATTTTACTATATTATGTTCCAACTGCCAAATTTTGTCCATCGACTTAACCTATCAATATCCCTTTGTTGATAATCCTTGCATCCTCCTCAGAGCTTGCTTCCCAATTTATCTTCGTACTTCAGTAAATATAGCTATAATACAGTTGGTCCCTTCAACCAAACTATGACTATTAATTAAAACTAGTTGAAGACCAAGCACTAATCTCTTCAATACTCCACTAGTCATAATTTGCCAACCTTAACTGATCCGTTATCCACATTCTCTGTTTTGTTTAATTGGTCAGCTTTGTATCCAATGTTAACATCATATGCTCTTATCTTGTGCAGTTGACCTTTCACTGTTGACAGCATCATAAGTAATCCCAATATTGTCCTCAGGTTCTGGTAGATTTGCCTTTTGGAATCACTGGTAGTGATTAAGAGGAAGAACAATGATTGTTTTTCTCTTCTACCATACCTTTTCTAACCACGGCCTCAGACACGCTGATGAAGCATGTACCAAGGTCCAGCTTTGAAACGTTTATGATCCAAGTGGCATGTGGCAGATCGAGAAGTGCTACATGTTTGGATACTTTTTAAACCATCCCACAAGCAATGTAATAGTGTGCAACATTGCTACTGACTCATATTTGTGAAAGACTCAACATTTGTCTAGTCTCCTCATTTACCTGTACATTTACCACGCTTCATTTCTCAATGCTAACAACTTATGCTGAACATTAGTTGTATAATGCTAACAATTTCTTAAAAATCAGTCTCATATTTTTGAATTTTTGTTTTTCCATTTAGATCAACTACAAAGCCAAAGGAGAGAAGATCATTCACAAGTACACTTATCCACCTGATGTGCCAGAGTTTATTCAGGCTAAAGTCAATGCTATTAATGCCAGTGATGTAAGTATATATGGCTGGATCTGTTCAAACACTGCAGCCACCTTTTTCTACCAAATGGAGTTGAGGTCATCCATGATCCAGCTGAATGAAGGAGCAGGCTCATAGAACTCCTGTTGTTGCATTACCGTGTGGCAATGGTTGATTATGAACAAACAAGTGATAGTTAGTAGGCATTTCATATTCAACAATATTCAAAGTGCAACTGTTTGAATGTCTCAATAGTATTCAGGGCATACGCCTAATAAGCATGCTAGGGAGTTCCAGTATTTCAGACATATTTCAAGACTCACATTCCGGTTCTCAGATTATCCACTTAGCAGCTTATAATTGATGCTATTTCTTTTAATGAGCAGGAAAATCATGGGATGATAGTGTAGAAGCAGAAAGCCTGAGCCTTCAACTCCAGATATAGACAGGGTGGTTAAAAAAGCACTTGGTAGACTTGCCTTCATTGCTCATTCCTTGAGTATAGGAGTTGGGAATTCATGTTGAGGTTGTATAGGATACTGGTGAGGCCACTTTTGTAATTCTGTGTCCAGTTCTGGCTGATCAGTTAAAGGAAGGATATTATTAAGCTGCAGAGGGTTAAGAAGAGATTTACCAGGATGTTGCTGGGTATGTACGGTTTGAGTTATAATGAAACGCTGGCTAGGCTGGGACTTTTTTTAACTGGGATGTAGGAAGTTGACAGGCAACATAGAACGTAGAACATAGAACAGTACAGTACGGTACAGGCCCTTCAGCCCACGATGTTGTGCTGAACTATTATCCTACTAAGATCAAACTACGCTGCATACCCTACATTTTACTGTCCACCATGTGCCTACCCAAGGGTTGCTTAAAAGTCTCTAAAGTATTCTACTCCACTACCACTGGCGGCAGTGCATTCCACATGCCCACCACTCTCTGTATGAAGAACCTACCTCTGACCTTCCTCCAATCACCTTAAAATTATGCCCCCTGTAATAGTCATCTCCATCCTGGGAAAAAGTCTCTGGCTATCCACTCTATCTATGCCTCTCATCATCTTGTACACCTCTATCAAGTCACCTCTCATCCTTCTTCGCTCCAATGCCAAAAGCCCTAGCTCCCTTAACCTTTCCTCCTAAGACCTTCCCTCCAGTCCAGGCAGCATCCTGGTAAATCTCCTTTGTGCCCTCTCTAAAGCTTCCAAATCTTTCCTATATTGAGGAAACCAGAACTGAACACAATATTCCAAGTGTGATAGACCTGACAGAAGTTTATAAAATAATAAGAGGTATAGATAGAGTTATATTTTTCTTTTCTTTAGAATGGGGATTTCAAGACCAGGGGGCACATTTTTAAGGTGAGAAGAGAGAGATTTCAAAAAGACACAAGAGGCAAAGTTTTTACACAGAGGGTGGTTCACGTGTGGAATGAACTTCCTGAGGAAGTGGTAGATGTGGGTACAATTGCAACATTTAAAAGACATTTGGATAGATACATGAATAGGAAAGGTTTGGAGGCATAAGAGCCAGGAGCAGGCAGGTGGGACTAGTTTAGTTTGGGATTATGTTCGGCATGGACTGGTTGGACCGAAGGATCTGTTTCCATGCTGTACGACCCAATGGAATCAATCTTGATCTTATTAATGTTAAAATATTGCTGGAAATGAAAACCTGGTATTGGTAAAAGTGACCATGACATTGTCAGATGATCATGAAAAGACAATTTATTCACTAATGTCCTGCAGAAAATGGTAAATACTGTCCCGAACAGGACTCCAATATGGCTGTCCCTTAATTCCCCTCTGATGTGACCTCGCAAGCCATTCCATTGTACCAAAACTAGGACAGCTAGAGGTGGTCAGTAAATGGTGGCCTTGCTAATGGTGCCTACCTTGTAAAAGTAGATATTATTCTAAAAAGTCTCCTTGTTGCACAAAACAATACTGTCAGGAGATTATTGAGCCTTTTCCCTTCAACATGGCAGCATTTTTTTGCCAAATTCTAGATGCCTTGTTTTCGTCTAATGCTCCATGGATACAACCAAAGGGGCTGAACACAATATGTGGTGATGGGAGTTATTTGTCAATCAGAATGATTACACAACACACCAAATAATATACCACCTCAGCTCAATATATCTTATTTCATATAGTCCTGAATCTTGCCAATGTGACCAGCCTTTTTTTGAATAATTTAAAGCTCATTTTCCTTTGCAGAACTGCTACAAACAAGCATGGAAAAAAGATTTATCAAAGGGCTGTAACATTACTTTTGATGCTATTCCAATTATTGCTGCTAAATCTGCCCGGCATAATGCCAGTGATGTAAGTATGTAGTGTTCATACTTTTAAATGTACTTTATTATACTACTTCCCTCTCATAGTACTTTATTTGCCCATTTTCATTCATCTTGTGTTGTGTGGTATGGATAAAGTTATTGACCTTATATGAGAAGTATGGGAGAACAGAATGAAAAAAAAATTCACAAATCTTGTGGAAGGTCAAAGGTTAGAACAAAACTTAGCCTCACAAAGTAGCTTGTCCAGACAGAGTATTTGATGAAATTTCATTTAAGGTATTATATAGGTGACAGGGCTTAGCCATTGTTGGACCAATTGTCTGTCAAGAATCAGGGACCATAGCTGTTGAGAAGGAGGATTGAGTCTTCAAACAATATTAACACTACACTCTAAATGTTATCGAGATGAGATAGGGAAAGAGGTTAATGATAAGGGATCAACAGGAAACAATGGAGATAAGTCCATAATGGAGGGAATAGGCATGGCTCAAAATTTCCTTGGTATTATGTTTGTAGTCACAATTTTGACACACATGTAGAAATATCTGAGCGTAAATGCATTTCTACTGCATTTTCAGCAAAATTAGAGGGTGGAGTGAAATATGTTTGGAGGAAACTTCCATCCCATCTCTGGGTGGAATAGGCTTGTGTGTGACCTTTACTTACTTCACATCCTGTTATGCATCATGTTCCTGAAAAGACATTTGGACTAATGGATAACAAGTTGTAGAGCTGGATGAACACAACAGGCCAGTCGGCATCAGAAGGGCAGGAAAGCTGACGTTTTGGGTCTGAACCCTTCCTCAGAAAAGGGTCTTTCTGAGGAAGGGTCCAGACCCGAAAAGTCAGCTTTCCTGCCCCTCTGATGCTGCCTGGCCTGCTGTGTTCATCCAGCTGTACACTTTGTTATCTCAGACTCCAGCATCGGCAGTTCCTATTATCTCTGAACTAATGGATAGGCGCTTTTTAATGGCCCATCATCACTTTTACCTCAAATTTCCCGAGCAGATGTAATGGAATATTAGGGATAATTCTTTGCTTCAGGAGGATATTCAGAAAATGTGAGCTGGTGAATTCAGGTCTCATGTCACAGATCTTTGCCCAATCTATGCTAAGTATGAATCTGAACCCATCTGCTCACTCTTTTTTGCTTTCTAAGCTGGATGTGAGTGTGCAATTGAAGACAGTGACTTGATGCTTTTTGACAGGAACATTAGGTTGTTTAATATCTGCAGTTTTCTGCTGTGATACTGTATAATACTGTACTAATAAACAAGTTTAATCAAAATGAAAATTCAAGACTGAAGAAAAATCCTGTCTTCCTTTCTTTTAAAGAGAGGTAATATACAACTGTGTTTGGAAAGTGTTCATACACTATTTTATAAAACACTGCTTAAAATAAATGTGCTAAGTTGCAGTGGAATGGCAAATAAGAAAATTTCAAAGAAGGATGTTAGGCAATATCTGAAGAACAATTTTCAATGTAAATGTCACAATGTTTGTTGAGATTATTATTAATTGCTTACCAAAACCCAAAACTGTTAATACTTTTTCTTTGTATATACACTTGTTTTTTTAATGGTGATGTTGCTCCGCTGCTGAGATGAGTATTTGTGTTGTACCATCTCCTGCAGTAACTTGAACAATTACCTTACAGGTGAAATACAAGAAAGCTTATGAGCAAGAGAAGGGAAAACATTTTGGCTTCCAGAGCCTCCAAGATGATCCAAAGCTGGTCCATTCCATGCACGTGGCCAAGCTCCAGTCTGACCGTGAATACAAGAAAGACTATGAGAAAAGCAAGACCAAATACCACACACCACTGGACATGATCAACATTACTACTGCCAAAAAGTCCCAGGAAGTGGCCAGCAGCAGTAACTACAGACAGCCAAGCCATCACTATACTTATCTGCCAGATGCCATGAGCCTGGAACTGTCAAAGAACATGATGAAAATACAGAGCGATGTAAGTTTCTATTATTGTATTATTTAAATATTTATCATTATTTTAATGGCGAATGACTACAGAAAGCTGCAGCGCAGAATGATTTGGATCTGTGCATGAATTGATAAAAGCTAGAATAAAGTTCAATGGGTAATAAGGATGGCAAATGGAATCTTGGCCTTTATTTCCATGGGAATGGAACATAAAAGTAAGGAGGTCTAGCTAAAAACTATATAAAGTGCTACTCAGACCACAGCTGGAATATTGAGAACAGTTTTGGTCCCTTTATCTAAGGGAAGGCATACTGACACTGAAGACAGCCTAAAGCAGGTTCACTAGGTTGACCCTGAATTTGGAGTGATTTTCTCATGAGGAGAGGTTGAGTAGGTTGAGCTTGTTCTCCTTGGCATTTGGAAGAATAGGAGAAGATCTTATTGAATCGTACATAAAATTCTTATGGGGCTTGACAGGGTAAATACTGAGAGAATATTTCTTCTTTTGAGTGAGGCATCACCCATTTATGACAGAGATGGGGAGAAATTTCTTCTCTCAGTTGGTGGTGAATGTGTAGGAATCTTCACCATGCAGGGTGTTGAGGCTGGGTCATTAACTATGTTCATGTACAGGCAGATTTTTAATCAATAAGGCAATCGAGGGTTATAAGGAAAAGGCAGGGAAGTGTGGAGTTGTGGATTATCAGTTCTCACTGATCTCAACAAATGGCAGAGGAGATTCAATCAGCAAATGACCTCCTTCTGCTCCTATATCTCATGGTCTTTCTTTCAACTGTGAGCACGAGAGGCTTCAATTTCCAAACAGATCAGGAGTTCTTCAGCACTTCAGCTAGGCACAATTGGTAGCATGTGTGCTTCCGTACACAGGGAGAGATGTAAAAGAAATAATCTGAGAATTTGAAAACAATAGCAATTGAAATTGTTTTAAATGAAATGAAGGCTGCAAAAGTTATTCATCTCTTTGTTTAAAGTCAGAGAGTCAAATCTTATAAACAGAAGTTTGCAGAGATAGTTCATAGTATTTTCCCACATTCAGAATTGCTCTGAGCTAGAGTTTAAATCAAATTGGAGTCTTAGAGTCATAGAGATGTACAGCACAAGGACGGACCCTTTGGTCCACTTGTCCATGCCGACCAAATATCCTAAATTAATCTAATCCCATTTGCCAGCATTTGGCCCATATGCCTCTAAGCCCTTCCTATTCATACACCTATCCGGATTCCTTTTAAATGAAGTAATTGCACCAAGTCTTCACCATCTCCTCTGGCAGCACCACCCTCTACATGAAAAAGTTGCACCTTAGGTCACTTTTAAATCTTTCCCCTCTCACCTTAAACCTATGCCCTCTAGCTTTGGACTCCCCCACTCTTGAGGAGATTTAGGCAGAGATTAATCAACAAAACATCTGTTATTTGTGTATCACCTTAAATATAGTAAAACATCTGTAATAATTTCAAAGAACCATTAACAGTCAAAACGTGACACTGAGCCAGAAGTTTTAGGGCAGTAATGAAAAGCATGAGAAAAATAAATAGTTGGAAAGGCCAGAAGACCATCCTAAAGAATTAAAAGAAAGAGCGTTGAATGTTTAGAGGTTTTGGAGACAGTTCTAAAGCTTAGGGCCTAGCAAACTGTAGCCTTATCCACCAATGATGACATGAAAGAAATCCAGATGCACGGCTCCCGAACTGGATAAAGGTCAGGCTTTCACAGGATTGTAAATCTTCAGAAGGTTTCAGAGATTAGGAGCAATGACATTAGCAAACACAAATTACAGCAGAACAATGAATCAAATCAGTTCCAGAGAATGCGAGGAGGAAGTCTAGTAAGTTGATTAGAGGCCAAGTAGTTAAGGGACAAAAAGCCAATGAGGAAGATATACTGCATTGCCCAAAAAGGATGGATTTGTAATCAAAGCGATTGAAAAGTAAGTTAACTCTGACTTTAAATGAAAACCATTATAACACTCATATTTGTATTGGTTTAAGGAGGAGATAGACAAGTTTTTAATTAATTAATAAAAATCTAGAGTTGTGGCAAATGGGCAGAGAAATGGAGTTGAGGCTGAGATGAGATATGCCATGATCGTATTAAATGACAGTGACAGAGTAGGCTCAGTGTGCTATGATGCCTATTCCTGCTCTCAGTTCTTGTAATAGTGAGTGTATGAAAAGTTAGTTAACTGAATGTTTGTTTATTGAAAATAGAGGAAGTGCTTACTTGTTACATATGGTTTGTTAATTTCTACATGCAAAAGTCTCAAAAAGTCTTTTTCCTGAGGTAAGTTAAAGATACGGTACAACTCCTGGAGCCAACATAGCCAGTTCTGGGTCTTGCTAGATAGGAGCAGGTGTTAGACACAGTGATAAACAGAATTCAATCCGAAAGTTCCGAGAGAAACAAAACAAGAGAATGCGCATGGATTCTGAGATATTTATAAAATAATGAGGGGCATAGATAGGGAGAATAGCCAAGGTCTTTTCCCCAGGGTAGTGGACCCCAAAACTAGAGGGAATAGGTTTAAGGTGAGGGTGAAAGATGTAAAAGGGACCTAAGGGTTCCTTAGGTCATCAACGTTCCATCAACGTTCTCAAACAGAGTGTGGTGTGTGTACGGAATGAGGAAATGATGGAGGCGGGTACAATTACAACATTTAAAAGGCATCTGGATGGATATATAAATAGGAAGGGTTTGGGAGGATATGGGCCACACGCTGGCAAATGGGACCAGATTAGTTTAGGATATCTGGTTGACGTGGACAGATTAGACCGAAGGGTCTGTTTCCATGCTGTACAGCTCTATTATTCTACGACTCTAGACAAACAGGGCCATCTTGGAATTGATGTTTACAGACCCCTGACAATGGAAATCAATTAAGGAAGATGGTCAAGACTGCAAATTTTTGCTTTATTGGCTGAGTCCTAGAATATAAAAGCAAGGAAATTATAATAGAATTGTCTAAACAATCAGTAGGCCACAGCTACAATACTACATAACAATCTGGTCACGACATTATGAAAAGAATGAGATTACAGTCGAGGAAGTACAAAAATGTTTTCCTTGTTGTCAGGAATATAGAATTTCAACTGTGGGAAACGATTGGATAGGCTGTATTATTTTCTTTGCATGGAAGACGCCAAGGGGAGATTTAATTGACGTGAAGGATTTGAATGAAGTAGAGGAGTAGTCTTTTAATTCAGAGTGTGGATCTGGGTCTGGGACTTGCTGACTGTAACAGTGGCAAAGGCAGAACCCTCATTGCATTTAAATAACACTTGGATAAGCATTTGAGCACTTGAGGTTGTAACCTACAGTGCTGTGGACTATGAGTTGGAAGTAGAATGAGTTTAGATAGCTTTTTCTCAATCAACAGAAACACAAAATAGGCTGAATGGCCTTCTGCAGAGCCATAAATTGTCTTGTGTTTCTAATCCACTGTATGGTTAGGCCAAACGATTCTGTGACCCAAGTTCCTATCAATAGAGTTGATGAGATTTACCGCATACTGCTGTGGAAAACTCCATAACAAGACAGGTATTCTCTCAATATCACCATTGTTGGGAAAATGATGACCTATATTAAAATTTGTTGTCTCTTTGTAAAACACATGAGCTGTGTGATTACTGTCAATTTGGTAGCAGTGTTGGCATAATTAATATTCCATATTTAAATTGATTTCTTTTTTTTTAAAGAACCTGTACAAATCTGATTACAATAACTGGTTGAAAGGCAGTGGCTGGAGTCCGCTTGGCTCGATAGATGTGGAGAAAGTGAAGAAAGCTGGACAAGTACTAGATGAGCATAGTTACAGGCAGCACCCAGGTAAACTCAAGTTTACCAGTGTGCCTGACTCCGTTGAAATGGTGCTGGCTAAAACCAATGCACTACAGCTTAATGATGTAAGTGGGTCTTTACAGAATATCATTGTTTATATTACGTTTCACTTTTTCCGCTATCCTTCAATAATTTGTGCTTTTGTGGGCATGATTCAGCTACAGGCAGTTTGGGAGTTCCTGCCCAATTTCTTTCATATCATTGCCACTCAATGTTCAGTGCGAAGTAAGCTTTTTGTGGGCAAGGAAGGTCTTTACCAGATTCTCCCTCAAATCTTCAATAATATATTGCATTTCACAATGCTGCTTGCCTAAGGGAGCCACCAAAAACCTGACAGAATGTGCTGGCGAGTTGGAATGTCAGCTTCTGCTCAGGTATGACCAGCATGAAAGGCCATTATATTCACCTTCGTGAAGTACAGACGTGATGCTACTGGTAGCACTGAATGGATTTCCTACTGGTACCAACTGATTTTCAAGTTCTTTGGTGTTCATGTATCTCAGAAGCACTCTCTGGAGTTCCTTTGATAAACACCTTCCCGTTATTATGTCACTACCCAAATTTCCCAGCAAGATCTATCACTTTTGATAATGAGCTAAGTGATTCCCCAGTCTCCCATCAAAACTTAGAATCCCTATGAGAGCTACTACTTGAAAACACTATTTGCATGCAAGTTGGTGTTCTTCTTATAACTTAACTTTACTTTATAGAAACTATACAGATCTGGTGGAGAGAAGATCAAGCACAAATACACCTTGCCATCAGACGTTCCCCAGTTCATTCAAGCTCAATGGAATGCAGTTAACCTCAGTGATGTAAGCATTTGTCAACTTGAATTATTTCTCTAGTGTGTCACAAACTATTTAATTTTAACCGTCTTAAGGACTGGGATACCAATTTGAATGAGGGTTAAGTAATATTTGTCCTTTTACAATGCAATCCCTGAAACACCTCCATTCTTGGTGTGAACCTTTGCAAAAATCTTTCTCACATTATTTTTAAGTTTCCCTTCTGTTCAATTTTTAAATATTAAAACTGTATCAAATGGAGTTGTATAATCACCAACGGTTATAATTCAGGACTTTTCTGTTAATCAGCCTACTTGCAGAGATGATCTTGAGAATTACAGTTATAATTTGATTAGCTTAATTGAATTAGTGGTATAATTTATCAGTGGTCTATACAATTTTATATGCAATTTATTCTTTATGAATATCTATTAGACAGCTGCGGAAAATGTCTTTCTGTAGAGGCAAAGTCAGCATTACAAAGGTCGTATTTTCAATAGTTTTTATTCAACATCAAAAGTATATATCTGAACTGTGTTTTCTTAAGATTTTTAGCTGCAGTCTATGAGTCCTAACTAAACTTTAGGGCCAGTTTTTAGCTACCATGGTGAATAACTTGATTTGGAAAATTTCTTCACTTGATGGACACTTCTCAGTAAAAAAATACATTAAATCATAATAAATTTTCATTCTAGATGTGAAGATGGTGGAGAGGTGAGAGGGCATGGAGTGAAATTGGGTTCTCATACTCTCGAGGCAGATGCTAAATAGCCGCAAGTCGGAAAACCTACCTAGTACTGTGGGTCTTGGCGAGTTTTAGATGATTTTTGGTCCTCTAGACCTCATCCCTCACAATCTCTTACCCCACCAATGCTACGTGTCCCCTTATAGTCCAATGCCAGCTGATCCATCCCCCAACACCCCCATGATTTTCATATCCTTTTATTTCAATACACAATATCAACATACCCTGTATCCACCATGAGAAGATATAAGATCCATGAAATAAAACTATCTTCTACAAATCTAATGCAGTTTTCATTATAGCGTACGGATAGTGATGACAATACTCCCATCTATGAAAGCGTCACAGATTATATTTAATGGTAATACAAAAGCAAAATACTGGAAATGTTGGAAATCTCAAATAAGAACAAAAAGTGCTGGAAAAGCTCAGTCAGTCAGCCAGCATCTGTGGTGAGAGACAGAGTTAACATTTCATGTTCTGAATGATCTATGTTCTGATGAAAGGTCATCAACTTGAAACATTAACTACGTTTCTCTCCATGGATGCTGCTGACCTATTGAGTTTTTCCAGCAAGGTTTTTTTTTTAAACACTTACTGACAACTGTAGGGATTTTTCATTTTGCAGTTTAAAAAGCAGGAACTTTTTAAACTTTAGACCTTATCTGACCTTCAACAGCATCATGTCTATTCCATTAATTTGTGACTTCCAGTCTAAAGTGAACTCAGTTTGAAATCATTGCTGAGCCTTTCAGATGCTAAAAATATCTGTGCTTAACACAGATGCACCAATGATCTAATATTGGTTACAGGACATAATTGGCAGAGTTTTAGGATTTTGGTTCCTTTCCAATTCTTAGCTGGACAAGAATGCTCAGCTCAGGCGTGGGAAGCAAAAGAAAAAAGGTAAATCAGAAGGAGTTGGAGATAGAGAAGTGAAATTAATGCATGAAAACATATCATAGTCTTGCTACTGCTACAGATATTTATGCTGCATGATGTTTTCCAATATTTAAGTCTTCAATAAATAGTGTATTCTCATTAAAGTTTCTCTAATCTTTTACAGAATTGCTATAAGAATAAATGGAAAAAGTCACTAGCTAAAGGATATCATCTTGAGCCTGATGCAATCCCTATTGTTGCAGCCAAATCATCAAGACGTATTGCTAGTGATGTAAGTGCCTAATGTGCCTAATTCAGTAAATGCTCACAGATCTGTGATCTCTTCCTCATTCCCAAAGAACTGTTAGACATGGTCGTTGTGACTGAAAAATATGAATTAGGAAGAGAAACTAGTTAAGGTTCTCCAGGTGAATGAATGTGTTAAATGTGGGTCAGCAGCTCAATATCGTGAGTGTTAGGAATGAGCTAGAAATGAAAAAAAGACACAAAAACTAAAATGACAGATAGTTAGAACACATTTCAGAAACCTCATGAGTGAACCAGCAGAGTTAAGATGGAAGGAGTGTTTGGCAGACAGAACTTTAGAACAACAGTGTATGTAAAAGGATATTGTTAGCTGTGAGATCAAACCCCTGAAAGGAGATCATAGAATCCCTACAGTGTGGAAACAGGCCATTCAGCCCAACAAGTCCACACTGGCCCTCAGAGTGTCTCATCCAGACCCATCCCCCTATAACCCACCTAATCTACACACCCCTGAACACTACGGGCAATTTAGCATGGCCAATCCACCTAATCTGCACATCTTTTGACTGTGGGCGGAAACTGGAGCACCCAGGGGAAACCCACGCAGACACGGGGAGAATGTGCAAACTCCACATAGACAGTTGACCAAGGGTGGAATTGAACCCGGGTCTCTGGTGCAGTGAGGCAACAGTGCTAACCACTGAGCCACTCTGCCACCCCATAATGTGATAGCCAATTTGTAGATGATGATCAAATTAAGGAAGAGGTATTTAGTAAATACTTTCCATTGATCTTCAGGGACTGCAACTTCAAATGGTTAAGTGTGAGATGAATGCTGTTTTGCAGAAAAAGAAAATTGTAGCTAAAATAATCAGCCATAAAGGAAATAACAATACCATGACTTGATGGATGGAGGTGAAGAACAATATTACAAAGGCCCTAGGTATTTCCAAAATCTATTATAAGGATACGCTCTGGAAGATTGGAGATAAATCAACCTAAGTATCGATGATAGAGTGGATATTTGATCAAAAGTTCACCTTGGGATTAAATGCATTACCAAGGTTATAATTGCCCAGGCCAGTTCTTTCCAGGGTGGGAATAGAAGGAAATAGTGTTCAGAGGGATAGGATGTAGATGGATGGAGGACAATACAGGGAAATGATCAATGGCTTTACCTGTAACATTTTCTACTTCTTGCATTAAGGTTGTCTTATTCTTGACAATTGCATTAACAAACCCCTATCACCCCCACTATCTACTCAAAAATCAGTTTATTTGGTGATTCACAAGATGTGTATCCAATCAAAATGTCAATTAACTGTTGAATATAAATTATTGATGTAACAGCTTATGAAAAGGAAGCTCTAGTGAATGAATCTTAAAGCTCCAGTTTGTTTCTAAATCCATTATTATTGATTCCAGTACAAATACAAAGAGGCCCATGAGAAAGAAAAGGGCAAACATGTTGGTTTCCGCAGTTTGCGAGATGATCCAAAGCTGGTCCATTCCATGCACGTGGCCAAGCTTCAGTCTGACCGTGAATACAAGAAAGACTATGAGAAAAGCAAGACCAAATACCACACACCACTGGACATGGTCAACATTACTACTGCCAAAAAGTCCCAGGAAGTGGCCAGCAGTAGTAACTACAGGCAGCCAATCCATCACTATATCTATCTGCCAGATGCCATGAGCTTGGAACTGTCGAAGAACATGATGAACATACAGAGCGATGTAAGTCACAAATGAAATGAGAAATTTCAATCAATCATCAGTACAGCAGCTTTCCATTTTCCAGCCAGAACAGATGTTCTTCATTATCAAACACACAGAGAAAATATGGGGGCAACTCAGCAAGTCTGGGAACAGAACATTCCTAAAAAAGAGCCATATTGGACTCGAAATGCTAAGCCTGTTTCTCCATCCACTGATGTTGCCAGCCTTGCTATGTGTTTCCACCATTTTCTCTGTCGGTTTTAGATTTTTCTAGCATTCAGAGAATTTTGCTGTTATTTGAATACTCCTCAGTTGGCTGGCTTCACTCAGTCTTGCCTCTGGCCAGAGATAGGTTTAAAACCTATGCCAAAAGTCTGAGTTGACCTGTGAGCTGTCAAAGGCTGGCAAAGTGACATGGGAAGACATGGGTGGTGAGCCAGCTATGGGAAGGATGTATTACAGGATGTCCACCTGGTACCTAATAGAGCTGTTTATGTGGCCAATTAAAGGCCACTTCCTACCTATGTGACATTTGCCAATGGGTTTGGGTGCTCGGCTGAGTGGGAATGCTGTTCAGCAAAACCTGGTGGATTTGCATTGGAGAAAGGGGGTCTGCTATTTTTTAGTCCATGGAGGGTATCACGCCCAGGAGCAATGGCTGTCACAAATGGAAAAGGCACCAGTTGACAACTGAGAATCCCCCAAACCCCGTCTGCAGTGGCTGATTTATATCTCATTTGCATTTACCTGCCTTAGTTCTATGTATCTCCATAACTTTACCTAACAAAAATCTGAATCTGCAAAGCTCCAATTGTTCCTGCATCATACTTTTAGATCATCATACTTTCCTGTAAATGCACTTTGTCCATTTTAATGCTGTGAAATGGGCTCAAATATTTCTGTAACTCTCCATTTTGCCAGAAACTGTACAAACAAGACTACAATTGCTGGCAAAAAGGAACAGGCTGGTTCCCGCTAGGCTCGCTTGATGTGGAGAAGGCCAAGAAAGCAGGAGATGTCCTGAACGAACATAAATACCGTCAGCATCCAGACACGCTGAAATTCACCAGTATCCCTGACTCTGTGAATATGGTCCTTGCCACAAGTAACACCAAGCAGCTGAATGAAGTAAGTGATTCTGTTCTTACACTGAGATATATGGTCTCCAGTTAATTGTTATGGATGGCACAATGCTAGAAGATAATGATATTGAAGTGTAAATATGGATTTCTATCTTTGCAAGATGGAAGCTTGAGATAATCATAGCAATGTGAAGAAGGCTTGCCCTTGAATTTCCTATCCTGGGTCATTTTCATTCCCTGGTTCAAATCCAACTTTGGCTGGACCTAGAACCAGAAAGAGGGCGGCAAACATTGTTACACTCCAGGCATTACTGAAATTGTATTTTGGACAACTGCCTAAAGTTCACTTGGATATTTGGGGATGGTGAAAAGTGAGGGAGAATGGAAGGGTGAGAATGCCTCAAAAATGGTGAAATATCTGTCAACCTGTCCTGGAGTTATTTCCAACAACTCCCAAACAAAACCCATTGGTAGACCTCTTGTGCAGTCCCTCCCCCTCCACAGTGGGTTGCCCAATGGTAGGTGAGAGTGAGAAAAAAATAGGAATTTCATCTCTATTGAATGAATACACTGAACCCCGACCTAGCCAGGCACACACCTAATACAGTCAATTTGGGAAATCCCAGGATAATGTGGAAATCTGATGGTATATCTGATGTACTCAATCTTCACATTAATTCCTATTTCCTCCAGCCAGGGAACTCAATGTATCCCATGCCCTCTGTAACAGAAATCTCCACAATGTTCATTGGTTTCTATCAGGGAAATTTGAGAAGAGAAAAGCATTTCAAGTGAACTCCTTGATTTTGATAACACATTTATAAGGCCTAGTAATAAATTTCTGTTCAGAATTCTTATGCTCAATTTGTATTGTAGCAAATTTGTGAAAAATGATAGGGTGGATATTAGAAAATTAAATTTGTTGCCACTTAAAATTTTATCAAGCGGTGAATGGGCATTCTAAATGGTGTCCTGATTCTCTTACAGTGGTCCTCAGATAATTTGGTTATTGAGGAATAATGAACATGAAAGCTTGTTTGAAAACCCTTTTTTGTCATGAGGGAGCATTGGCAAATAAAGAAATCTCAAGTTAGATGTGGGTCTCTTTGGATTTTTTTTCACAAAGATGCAGATATTAATATTAAACTTTTCAGAAATAATTGTTTTGTTTTTGCATGGTCCATTGGCTTTCATTCAACTGCTGATGATTTTTGCACTTTCAGATTAACTACAAAAAGTCTGGCGAAGACGTGAAACACAAGTATACTCTTGACATTCAATATCCACCATTCGTACAAGCTAAGGTCAATGCTCATAACTTAAGTGACGTAAGTACCGAGAAGGATAACATTGAAGTAGTTCACATGAATATTTCAGTAACAACTAGGCATTTTCTTTTACTGAAGAAAGGAATTACTTCATTCAGAGGCTGGAGATTCTCTGGAGTTCTCTACCTCAGAGAATTATGGAGGTTCAGTCATTCAGTCAGTACAAGACACAAATCAATAGATTTCTAAATTTCAGGGGATACAGGGAAAATAGTTTGGAGTTAGAAGGTCAGCCATGATCTAGTTGAATGCTGGAGCAGACTCGAGGGTGTGAATCATAGAATCACCAAATCCCTGCAGTGCAGAATGGTCACCTCCTGTATCTATTTTCTATGTCGCTAGTGTTTTATTGGCCAACTGCACATCATTTCTCAATAAACCTGCAATAAAATCATTTCTGCAGCACAAAGGTCAACATTTGGCTTGAGGAACCTAATGGTTAACAGCTCATCTGATAATTCCGCTGGTGCACATTAGAAAGAAAAGGTTGAATAAACATGCATCACAAAGTGAAAAGAAATTTTAAAGGAATTTAAAATTGGTACCTGACTGTGGAAAAACAAAGTTTATCACATAACTGGAAGCTTTTCTGTGAAATATGGCCTTTCTATAACTCCTGCATATCCATTATTGCCCTGATTCGCAAGAACTTAGTCTGTATGTACAGCAAGTAATTCAGAAAATTAATGGAATGTTATGTAGTCATAGAGTCATAGAGATGTACAGCATAGAAACAGACTCTTTGGCACAACTCGTCCATGCCAACCCGATATCCTATAAACCATTCCTATTCATATACGCATCCAGATGCCATTGAAATTTTGTAATTGTACCAGCCTCCACCACTTCCTTTGGCAGCTCATTGCATACACGCACCACCCTCTGCCCCTTGGGTCCTTTTTAAACATTTCCCCTTTGACCTTAAACCTATGCCCTTCTTGTTTTGGACTCGCCCACCTCTGGGAAAAGATTTTATTTATTTACTCTATCCATGTCATCAGCCTTTGATGCTCCAGGGAAAATTGCCACAGTCCATTCATTCTGTCCCTATAGCTCAAAGCTCCAACCCTGGCAACATCCTCGCAAATCTTTTCTGAACCCATTCAAGTTTCACAACATCCTTCCTATAACAGGGAGAACAGAAATGCAAGCAGTATTCCAAAAGTGGCCAAACCAATGTCCTGTACAGCCGCAACATAATTTCCCAACTCCTGTACTCAATGCACTGACCAATAAAGGCAAGCATACCAAGTGCCTTCTTCACTATCCAATCTACCCGTGACTCCACTTTCAAGGAAATATGAACCTGCACTCCAAGATCTCTTTGTTGAGCAACACTCCCCAGCACCTTACCATAAATGTATGAGTCCTGCCCTGATTTGCCTTTCCAAAATGCAACACCTCACATTTATCTAAATTAAACTCCATCTGCCAATCCCGGCCCATTGGCCCATCTGATAAATGTCCTGTTGTGCTCTGAGGTAACCTTCTTTGCTAGCCTCTACACCACCAATTTTGGTGTCATCTGCAGACATACTAACCATACCTCCTATGTTCACATCTAAATAATTTAAATAAATGACAAAAAGACATTGGACCTAGTACCGATCCTTGTGGCACTCCACTGGTCACAGGCCTCCTGTCTGAAAAGCAACTCTCCACCACCACTCTGTTTTCTACCTTCCATCCAGTTCTGCATCCAAATGGCTAGTTCTCCCTGCATTCCATGAGATCCACTTGCTAACCACTCTACCATGAGGAACTTTGTCGAATGCCTTACTGAAGTCCATATAGACCACATCCTCCACTCTGCCCTCATCAATTCTCTTTGTTATTTCTTCAAAAAACTCAATTATGTTTGTGAGACATGTACAAAGCCATGTTGACTATCCCTAATCAGTTTTTGCCTTTGCAAATTCATGTAAATCCTGTTTCTCAGGATTCCCTCCTGAATGTCATTATTTATTGTGCTAAGAATGGGATACAAAAGTTGGGAGATTGTACTTCAGCTGTACAGGAGACTATTGAAACAATAGCTGAAATGATATATACAGTGTCAGTCTATTTATTTAAGGAAGGATGTGAATTCAGAAGGTTTACTAGACTAATACCTAGAACAGGTGGGTTGTCTTAAGAGGAAAGGTTAGACAGGCTTGGCTGGTATTCTCTGGAGTTTTGAAGGGTAAAAGGTGGCTTGATTCAAACATATAAGATCCTGAGGGGACTTGACAGGATGGAAAGGATAGTTCCTCCTGTGGGAAAACCTAGAACTAGAGGTAACAAAGACAGAAATTGCTGGAAAATCTCAGCAGGTGTGGGAGATGTGGCAGTGAGTTAAACACTAAACAAGAAATCCAAAGAACTGCGGATGCTGGAAATCAGAAACAAAAACATTCGGCCAATCAAGTCTGCTTTGCCATTCGATCATGACTGACATGTTTCTCAATCCCATTCTCCCGCCTTCTCCCCGTAACCCTGATCCCCTTACAAATCAAAAATCTATTTATCTCTGTCTTAAATACACTGAATGACTTGGCCTCCACAGCCTTCTGTGGCAGTGAGTTCCAGACATTCACCACCCTCTAGCTGAAGAAATTCCTCGTCTTCTCATTTCTAAAAGATTGTCACTTCATTTTGAGGCTGCACCCTCTGGTCATAGTCTTTCCTACTAGTGGAAACCTCTTCTCCACACCCATTCTATCAAGGCCTCTCAGTATTGTATAGTTTTAATGAAATCCCTCACATCCTTCCAAAGTCCATTGAGTACAGACCACAGTCTTTAACCATTCCTCAAATGACAAGTGCTTCATCCCCAGGATCATTCATATATACCTCCTCTTGGCTGCCTCCAAGGCTAGCACATCCTTCTTTAGACACGTGGTTCAAAACTGCTCACAATATTTCAAATGCGGTCTGACCAGAGCATTATTACAACCTCAGCAGTACATCTTTGCTCTAGTATTCTAACCCCCTTGAAATGAATGCTAACATTGCATTTGCCTTTCAAACTGCCAACTGAATCTGCATGTCAACCTTAAGAGAATTCTGAATTAGGATTTCTAAAGCCCTTTGCATTTTAGATTTCCAAAGGCTTTCCCAATTGGAAAATAGTCTACACCTCTGCTCTTCCTACCAAAGTGCACAACCTCACACTTTCCCACATTGTATTCCATCTGACACTTCTTTGCCCACTCTCCTAGCCTGTCCAAGCCCTTCCACAGCCTCTCTGCTTCCTCAACACTACCTATCCCTCCACCTATCTTTGTGTCATGCCTTGTATACAGTGCACAAATTATTAGAAAATTAAGTGCAAGACATACTTGTTTTTTCTCATCTCTAATTTTCCAATAAGCCCCTATTCCATATAAACCTCCAATGGCAGTACAGGGTTTTCGAAAAAGAACTGACTCTTGATAGTTAGACCTATATTTGAAATAGTTGAGTAGTGCTCGTATATTTCTGTCATATTAAGGAATATTAAGACCATTAGTTCTGGGCCATTGGAGAGAAAGACTTGTTTCATCAAATCACATTTTTCCCATGATAATGACTAGAGTTTCAGTGTTTGCTTTACTTGGTCCAACTGTTCTCTGATCTCTTCTACCCGTGATAACAAGGCAACTATTTAGTACAAGTTGCAATTCAATGTGAAATACTATCACAATCAATTCTCAAGCTCTTCAAATCTCCATGGTGTGTGACCATTTTGTGTATGACTTGGTAAGAATGCTACATTACACATCATAACCATTAACCAAAGCTATCCTAAAATTATTGTTCATGTTTTCTTTTCAAGCAACGCTATAAGCAAGCCTGGCTAAAGACAATAGCTCAAGGCCATGATATCCGGGAAGATGCCATTCCAATTGTTGCAGCCAAGGCTTCAAGGAACATTGCCAGTGATGTGAGTAAATTTGTTTTATAGTCTAATCAAGACCATCTAATTCACTTAGTATCTTCCTTTGCTCAAGTCAGTGACATAGCCAAGAGAATCTATTAGTGTCCTATACAAAAAAAGACTTCCCATTAGCTGCAGAAACAAGGACCATGGGTCCCAGATTTAATATTTTGGATAACAGATGCAGGACTGATATAAGGAAGTACTTTTTCGTGTAGCCAATGGTAATGGTCTGGAGCTTACTGCTAATGAGAAATGGTCAATGACTTCAAAACAAAATTGGGTGGTAATGTAAAGGAGACAAACTTGCAACATTGTGGGGGTAGTGAAAAAGAATGGGGCTAAATGGATTGCAATTTGAACTGCTAGCATAGATATGATAGACTGAATGGTCTCTTTCCCTGCCTTGTATTACTCTGTAAAATAGATTTTCAAAAGGCAGCTAGAATTTAGGCACATGGAATTTAAGATAATTCAATGAGATTGATTAAAAACATTGACAAGTGGTATTTGGCATTGACTGGTGTAGTGAAGTGATCTGGATCTGGGTATAGTCAAAACGAAAGCAAATTTGCAGTTTTTGTTATCATGAATTGTGAAACAAAGAAGAAAAATGATTTTAAAAGATTAAGCAAGTAGGATTATTGATAGCAAATACGGTTTATATGAATTGGTCATACAGTTTTTAATGGCAGATGGGTTCACAAATGTAGTGGAGAAACAGAAAGGGGGATTGTATATATAAAATATATAAATCAATATAAGTTAATTTAAGCACTAAAAAGCTGTCAAAATGTCTAACGGGATCATGTTGTTGTCTCATATTGAGGCAAAGCACATAAAAACTAGGCCAGTTGTTGTATTAAACAGTGAAGTAATAATGCTTACTATTGACTTTGAAAAGAACCTACAAAGATCCAACAGTATCTGTGGTGTGCATCTTATTTTTTCTGATGCCTGTTTAACATCTGAGCCTAAGCCAAGCATTTTGGGTGGGATCCCAAAAGCACATCCTGTGGAGGAGAACTGAATCACTAACAGTAACGTTTGCACTTCTGTATGGCTCATGTCTGGATTTCTGAAGCTGCTGTCATTTTCAGCGGAGTAATAGCAGTCTAGGGTAACGCGTTCAACATCACTGCCATCAGGAAATCCAGACAGCAATTTCCATCATTCAGCAAGGTGGTAATGAGAGGAAAACATTTGAAATTAAAGTAAAAAGAATGAAAGGGAGATTAGTAATATTAATTTGCATGGAAGGCTGTTAAAATTTTCACTTTTTTTGCCATGAAATATTGCTAAAGAAAATTGGTGAATTATTGTCCGTGGAATTCAAATAGCTGCTTCAAAAATATAAAAATATTAAAAAATACGGGGTACAAGTAAGACTTGTGATTACGGAGGGGCTTATTTGGAGAAAACAGCAGTTGAATGAAATATTTCGAAGCTGGAATGTGGAATGGCCTCCTGTTTCAATTTAATGCCTCTATACTCATGATGCTAGTCCCAGTGAATTATTTAAATTTTAGTTTTGATGTAAATGCTAATCGCAAATTAATTTCATAGCAGAGATGATACACAAGGCTATTTACATTGTGCATCTTAAGAGTGAATGAACAAAAAATAATCCGCCCATAATACCTGTTAGAATCATAACAAATATGCAGAAAGCAAGATGCATTGTACACCTCTCCACTGAAGAAAATGTATAATTAAGAAAGATTCTGATTAACATGGAATAAACAATAAGAGCTCACTATCATGCATTTAGATCATCGTTGGAGCTTGTATTGCTAAAAAAGTGCATTTTATTGAAACTTTTCATCTTGTACACATTAGGGCAATTCACAAGAACACTGAACTACAAAGAGAAACTGTAAGTTGTATAGCACAGTTATACTTGATCATATTAATTTTCTACTTTATCATTACAGTATAGATACAAAGCAGCCTATGAGAAGGAAAGAGGTAAACACGTTGGCTTCCGCAGCCTCCAAGATGACCCCAAGCTGGTCCATTCCATGCACGTAGCCAAGATTCAGTCTGAACGTGAATACAAGAAAGACTACGAGAAGAGCAAGACCAAGTATCACACCCCGCCTGATATGCTCAACATTACCTCTGCCAAGAAATCCCAGGAAGTGGCCAGCAACAGCAACTACAGGAATCTAATTCACAACTACACCTATTTGCCAGATGCCATGAGTGTGGCATTGTCCAGGAACATGATGAACATACAGAGTGATGTAAGCAAACCCACTTTACCTCATGAAATAAATCTGTTATATTATTGAAATTCAGGATAGTATCTCTCTCTCAGGATGAAATAAATATGCTGTCTCATTCACCCCTATTAAGTACTTAATTAAGGATTTCTAGAAAAGAGGCGATTTGGAATTCAAGCAAAGATGAGGAATTTTATTTATGTGTGGAGATTTGGGAGGCCAGGCTTATTATCCTTAAAGCAAAGAATGTTACAGAGAGATTTAATATAAGTGTTCAACATTTTAAAGAGTTTTAACAGATTAATTAAGAGGACCATTAACTAGAGGAGACAGTTTTAAGATAATCAACAAAAGAAGTAGAGGGTAGGTGAGGAGAAACCTCTTCATCCAGCAAGTTATTATCTGGAACTTACTGGCTGAAAGCATCATAGATGATTTACTAGCACCACCTGTTTTGAGCCTTTCGATCATGTGGTGGGCTATTTTGTCCTGGAGTGAGAAAGAGACAGGTATTGAGGGAGTGGCACAGTTGTTACTTTTGGTGCAACTGGGGACGTGTCCCAAGTAAGTGAGTTGGCAGCACAGAGGGCATGCAGGGTTAGTGGTGTCATAGTTTGGGATGGACAACAGCAAATGAGAGAAGGGAGATAGTAGGAACTGCTGATGCTGGAGAATCTGAGATAACAAGGTGTAGAGCCGGATGAACACAGCAGGCCAAGCAGCATCAGAGGAGCAGGAAAGCTGACATTTCAGGTCTAGACTCTTCTTCAGAAATGGGGCTGTAGCAAATGAGAGAAGATGTTGCAGACAACAGTATGAATGATGAGTGTACAAGTAAGAGATCAAAGGGTCACACCATTGTTGAGGATGTACTAATCAAACCTAAGATACTGTTGAATCTTTCATCAGTTAGAAGGTTTTAATTGATTAATATGTATATGTAAATCCGTGAATTCCTTTGAAGTCACTGTCCTGAGAGAACTAAAGATTTTATCAGTGTAAAGAAGAGGTGACATTTTAGAACAGACAATGCATGTCAGGTGTGAGGCCTTGTTTAGAACCTGTTTGTATTTTGGTTTGGAGTCAGACTGGTTTTATTTCTAAAGTAGGAATTTATAAAATGCCACATTAACTGACTGTCTATAAATTGTGTGCTTTTTGAACAAAACAGAATGTATCTGTAAATACAAATTCACCCCATACGTTCACCTGTGTGTGTGTGTGTGCGTGTGTGTTATGCATTTGTTTATGGGCATTCCAAAATGCAAATAAAACAGTCTGTTGAATCTGCATGTTTGTACTGTTTCACTCAAAAGGATCCTTTTCTGATTTCTATCTGCAGAACAATTACAAATCGGATTATAATACCTGGTTTAAAGGTCTTGGCTGGATTACTCTTGGCTCCTTGGATGTAGAGAAGGCAAAGAAAGCAACAGACATAGCAAGTGAGAAGAAATATCGTCAACATCCAGAAAAACTTGCATTCACAAGCATCCCTGATTCTCTTGAAATGGTTTTGGCTAAGAGTAATGCACAGATAATGAACAAGGTAAATGTTACAATGGACATAATCTTTCTCTGCATCAATTTTTAAAGTTTCAAGTCACAAATTTTCCATTCGCCTCTTTCCCCTGAAGAACACAAGTCCACAGATGAATCTCAGCTAAGTCATTTGATCTTCTCATGCATCTTCTGAGCATACTGAGTAACAAATAGAAGCAATAACTGATTCATTCATAGCTGTAGGCAGCTAAGCTAACTGTACAACTGCAGCTGTAACCCTTACTAGTACGGAAACAAAGTCTTGCATTCAAATAAAACCAACTGTGTGATCATCAGACATCCAAAGAAAGCACATAAATTCAACCAAGTACTTCTCAAAATGTAATCCCCATTGTAAGGTATGAAGCCATAGTCAGTTAAATCTAGTTATGTATTGCTTGAGGATAACCACTCCACAAGCGTGGGGCAATGTGAATAGGCAACCTTCATGAAATACCACAACAAGTATCGGAATTGAGTCCACATTATTGGCTTTATTCTGCATCACATCGTAGTCATCTAACCTAACCAGCTCCCGTCCTTGTTGTGGTATAGGAAATGTGGCATTTAATTTGCAACAACAAAATCCCCACAAACAGCAGTTGATACTGACCAAACAATCTGCTTGCATTGTGATGTTGATTGATGGATAAATATTGTCCAGGACACACACCAGGGATAACACCCCTTGCTCTATCAAAATAGTGCATAGAATTTTCCAATTCCATCTGCAGATCTCACGTAGGGTGGCACGGTGCCTCAGTGGTTAGCACCTCTGCCTCACAGTGCCAGGGACCCGGGTTTGACTCCACCCTCAGGTACTGTCTTTGTGGAGTTTGTACATTCTCCATGAGTCTGCGTGGGTTTCCTCCTGGTGCTCTGGTTTTTACCCACAGTCCAAAGATGTGCAGGTTAGGTGGATTGGCCAAGCTAAATTGCTCCATCGTGTCCAGGCATGTGTAGGTTAGGTGGATTAGCCCTGGGAAATGTGGGGTTACAGGGATAGTGGTTTGGGAGTGGGTCTAGGTGGAATGCTCTTTGGAGGATTGGTGTGGACTCGAGGGGCTAAATGGCCTGCTTCCACTCTGTAGGAATTCTATAATTCCATGAAAGAGTGCAGCTGCCATTGTAGTGCTCCTTCAGAATTGCACTAAAGTTTCAAATTGATTTTTGTGCTCAAGCCCTGGAGGTGGATTCGAGCCCAGAGACTTAGGTGAGAGTATTTCTGAGTTATAGCTGATACAAAACTCACACACGTATATATTCACACATGCACACGCGCACGCACACGCGCGCACACATGATAGGTTCCAGAGCCTAATGGTCTGCATGGGTTGATGCTTTTTCTAGCGTTACCAACTGGACCACTCATGGCAGAAGTGGAAGGAGTGGAACTGGGCAGGACTGAGTCTGTTCTTCTGATATTTCGCACAATTATCCACGCTGAAAGATAAAACTGCTGTTACGTGAAATGCTAAGAGATGCCTGACTGAAGGTGACTGCTGTCCTGCTCTTGGAAGGATTCTTGCCCTCAATACAGAACCTTCCAGTTCCCACCACTCCACAGAATGACACGTTCAAGCTTAGAACTTATCTAAAGATCTAACTGCAGCAGGGAGTTATGATCTACCATAGGTTGAGTTAGAAGGTGCATCATCAAACGGTCAATTGGTAAAGCCTTCAAAATAGCCACTATCTTGAGCCCTACTCATTCAACTTTTTGACAAGTCACTTTCTTTTAATATCATGGGAATCATTCTTTTACTTTTTGACAGAAATTATACACTCAAGCTTGGGATGAAGATAAGAACAAAGTCCATGTTATGCCAGACACACCAGGAATTGTGTTATCCAAAGTCAACCAGTTGAATTTGAGTGAGGTAAGTCATGACTGAATTGTGGCAAAAAAAGTGAAAATAATCTACGGCTTCTGTTGTGTGCATGATCAGAGTGTGATTGCTGGTGAATCCAATTGCTTTGAAAGTTAACCGATTCCTTAGCAAACACCCATGTTGAAATTGTAAAAATCATAGCTTCATGTGAATGGCAGAAGCAATACTAGGTAAAGTTCCGTGTTGGGAGGTTTGAGGTCATCCATTTGGAAAAGATAAATTGGGAAATTGTCTTAGTGGTGAGACATTGGGATCTGTAGAGGACCAAAGAGATTCAAGTCTCATTACTAAACCAAAAGGTGATAAAGTAAGCCAAAAAATTGGGATCTTTTTCAGGAGAGATAGAATCCAAAAATGAGGGAGCATATTTAGATTTTAGAATTAAATGGCAGGTAGTATTTATTTGGCTTGAACAGTAGATTCACTGGAGTGATACTAAGGCTAACCAATGAGAACAAATTGTCTTTTATCCCCTTGGGTTCAGAAGGTGATCAGTTCTGGTTCTCTTAAAAAGACAACGGAATTTGATAAGATAAGTTGGTGGAGGAATCCAGCACATAAGGATATAATGTTAAAATTAATGCTAAACTATTTAGGTGTGAAATTAGAAGGTGCACAGAAATTCTTGAAGGATTAACAAGTATTTTATGATAAAGCAGATTATGGGATCCAGTCCGTAAACTTCACTTGTAGTCAGATAATGAGTGTTGATATCGACTCTCTATCCTCATGTTCCTTTTGTTTTTAAAGAAATTATACAGATCTGGCTGGGAGAATGCAAAGAAGAAAGGCTATAATCTGATGCCTGATGCCATTTCAATAAAAGCAGCAAAGGCCAACAGGGAGATAGCCAGTGATGTAAGTTTATTTTTCTGATGTTACCAGGTATCATTTGATATACAATTATTCCCCAGGAGAGCTGAGTTTCAGTGTTTTCATATAAACCATATAAATGTTTCCATGCAGCAGATACTATTACAGTCATTGTACAGAGGATGATGGATGATTTGGATAATCTTATTTGTTGTTTTAAATTGATCTTCGTTTGTAGTTGAATCATTACTGTGTGTAAGCATTGAAAAGTATTTTTCCTTAGTTTTCTTATAACTAATCTTTCAGTTTTAATTCTTCAGGGTTCAGAACTCCAGAATTTCAAAACCACAGTATAATCCTGAGAATTATAATATTTTGTGTTTTTTTTTTATGAAAATGAGTGTTAAAAACTTCAAACATTTAAGTGTTTACCTTTAGTTTTTATCTATTCAGATTATTAAATTAATCAGCCTTTGAATCATAATTAGAATGTTGTTTATTCAATTGCAATTTACCCATGTTAATTTTCATCCCATGACATTTGGGCTAATCCATTGGTCTCCAGAACACTGGGCTTTTACACAAGTATGTATGGTAGAAATTGCAATACATATATTCTTTACGTTTGATTGAATTATAGCCTGTAAATTTAATCCTAGCATTCTTATTTCTTATACAACAAGGTATAGAGCTGGATGAACACAGCAGGCCAAGCAGCATCAGA